CAATCATATTTAAGGGTAAAATAACAAACTGGAATCGACTCATTGGCTCAAATTACATAGTTAATTAACGGATCAGTGAGGGAGTCTGAAAGTTGACCTTTGACCCGACAGGTCGATTTCATGTTATCGAGCCTGAGCTGTGGCAATCGACTTCAGCATCGTTCTTTCTAGCTGGTCAGGGAAGCTGTAAAGCATGGAGCAACTTCTTTTGTGTGCATAATGAAGGTTGAAACAACCGAATGCAGGAAAACTTCGTCTTATCGCTCAGAATGGTTGTGAGTTTATCCATATAGTCTTTTCTGTCTAATAAAACAATACCGGCACCCTTGTCCGGTTTGCACAGAATGACCTCCTCATTGCGTTTAAGCTCCTTCAGCGCGCCTAGGTGCTTTCTTGTTAATGGACCACAATTATGGACACCACGTTTACGATATTGATAGCAATAATGTACCAAGGAGCACTTAAAGCTTTCGAGATCCATATTAGACGTAGGCGTTAACCCATTCGTTTGATCATCTAGGTTTTTCAATTGCAACTCGTAATGAAGTTGGTTGTCTCTACGTCTAGGTGCACAAAATTTTAAACCGAACAATAGAACTTCAATTAAAGTTGTATCCAGTATCATGCTAGAAAAGTTTTGTACGTACCTTTCGGGCTTGTTCTGAAGCACAGCTTGAGGTTTTAACTGGCTCAGCGTTTTTTCTCAAGCCGAAGGCCTCCGATGTACACGAGTACTGATAATAGACTGGCCATAATCCAAAACATCTGTTTTTCTTCTATGGCTAAAGCCTAACTTGCTACGTAGCATTGTGCTAAATTCCTTTCGAATTCAGCTATCTTGGACTGCACCGTACCACGTTGGTTAAGCGCATGTCGTCTAAGCGTCTTGCTATTAAGACAAACCAGATTATGACGTAGCGGCTTCCAAAATCTAGCGGGATACTCATTACGCTCAACACACTCATCGAAAAATTGAACACTGGTTTTGGCTTCACCAAGATTTGTGGAGAACCTCAGGAACTCATTGAGCTCCTTCTTTAAGAGTTGCGCCTCCACTGCATTGTCATTAGAAGCTGGTGATGTTCCTGCTGCTTTCAGACGCATTGCTGTTGACAACCTGTTACGGGATTAAGTCGAGTTCTCTAGAAGAGTTAGTGCCCTTAGTTCTGATTAGAATATCAGTGTCAACAGCTTGGGACCGCACCCCTGATAGTTTGGTGATATGGGGATCCTATTCAACGCTATGGCCACGACATTTTCGTAAGAAAGATCCACACAGATGTAGTGCCATTGTCACCGGTCGTGTACCTACGCATCGTCGGAATTGGAATCTGTAAGCTCAGGTACACCGTGAGCAATCACGGTTTTCTTATATTGACTTTTTCTGTTCCTTTCTTTCTTAGTGGAATCCGCCGAACGTTTTTTTACGCAATTCCAGGTAGTATGCACACTCCACTTGAGGCGTTGCGGAGTCGATAGGCAGACAGCAGAACGGTCTCTGTCTCGTCCGCCGAGTTTAGTGTTACCCGAAGTAAGCGGGGTTGACCGTAGTGCCACGCGTTTGGATGACGCGAGATGCGTTTTAATGTCGTGGGATCAGCATGGACACCGATCGCCGTACAGATGGAACTCCATTGATTTCGATCGTCCGTCAACCTACCCTTAATTGTACTGGATTTGGATTGGAGGACATTAGTGTACACAAGGTTTAAGGCACCGTGGTTGCGCCTGGTGACTACTGGCTTTGGCACCTTAGTTTCGGCTGCGTTTGGTAAATTCGTAAATGACACTGACAGATGCCATCCGTGCTGCGACACTTCAGTTTTCTCCAGTCCGGACATTAAGGTTACCGGTGCTATTTCCGGTGTTTGTTTAGCGGCAAGCGATGCGTATGTTACCTGGTTGCTCACTATAGCTGGTTGACTGCAACTTAGGGTCTCCTGTATAGCGAGAAAACTACTAAGTGTTACACACTATACAGAAGTTTAAGCAGGCACGCTGCAGACAATATTTTTACTCATGGGAGAGAGAGTTGGTACTGATTGAGGCTGAGTCGTTGGGGTACGGTTGAGACGCCTGGCTCTCTTCTTCGGCCTGAATAGGGAATTCGGGGTGTTATTTTCACAGACACACCAGTTGCTCTATTACTTCTGTTAGTCTTTCACACTTCTTTAGTAGCACAGTTAGACAGTTAACAAGTAGGATAGCACGGCATCCTGGGCAGAACCAAAATACCTCTGTCGTGTTACTGTACCGTCTCATTTTAATGGACACCGTCCCAAGGTATTTTGTGTGTTAGGTTCTCAAGTAACTGCTACAAACTAGCCCGCTCTTCATCAATTTAACACACAACTCACACTTGCTCTTAACATGAGATGTGTTCTTCGTGGGCGTGCGTTTTTAAAACCACGCATTCGTCGGATGATCCGTTAGGGCAGATTCCCGATTCAATGATAAACCTGAGTTAGCGTCGCGCGGCCACTGTCAGTGATGATACCTTGTAAGCACAAGTTGCAGTGTTGGTCGGTTGGTCCATCGATGTTAGGCCCGGCTGGTTTAGGACCTAGTAAATGAATCTACACACAACGATGACACAAAGTGAGAGATCACACATTCCTTCACAGCCGAGTTGAAAAACACCGGCCTGGAATAAGCTTAGGCTTTTCGGACTGCCTCGAGGATTCTGCGTCCAATGATGTTACGTAGCAGGGTAATGAGCACGAAGAGAATTAGTTATCCGCTTGTGTTCAAGCACGGATGGCAGTCAACTTCTTTAGTGATGGTTAGGACTTTAGTGGTAAAAGATACTTCACATCTGATGGATCACTGTGTAGAGCTGGTAAATTTTGTTCGAATGAGCGTACAGTGACTATAGTGCGAGAAGACAGAGAGGATTATTCCAAAGGACCCGAGAGCACAAGTGTCAAGCGTGTGTGTTGCCCTCGGGGGTTGCACTCTAGGAATTTCGATAGTCTACGGCTTCCACAATTGTGAATCATCCGATGATTATTAAATCTTTGGTCTTATTTAACTCATCTGAACATTCCCAAACTACAAATTTCATGTCTTCCAAATCCAAAGCCTCTATTCATTATATTCTTAAGTGACTATCCAATTGCCCCCTTGTGTAAATGCCAGGACTGCTACAAAATGCTACGGTTCTATTATCAGTAGTTTACCGCACAGCTTTGTATACATTCTTAAGCGGTTAGCGGCTGGGTAGGGCAAGATGCCCCCCTCAGAAGAAAATGATTTTTGTTTGAGTCATTGCAATCGCTAGAGATATTGTCCACAGTGAGTAAGTATGGTAAACTAAAGATGTACCGGACTGAGCAACGTAGGAATTTCACAAACCTGGCAAATGTAGCCAAACCTATTTATCTTAAGCCCTAAGGATGTGTATCTTACACCCTTTCCCCCAAAAATGTCAAACCAAAATAGGAAGCGCTGACTAAATATTGCGAAAGCAGTCCGTATTTTACTTCGTCGTGTAGTTATAGTGTATTTGGAAGTGAATAACCTCTAACAGTATTCCTCATCAAGGTTAGAACATAGTTTGTTCCTATGCATGGGAATGTGCCCATTACGGAAATAGGTTACTGTTGTTTGTCAAGTGCGTAGATGTGTGGGGGTTCCGCACTGTGTTGGGACAATGCTTACTGCTTCCATCCATACTGAATGAGCTTACTTAGTGAGCTGACATCAAGCTTATCACCTAGAGTAATCCGCTACTCTATTAAAACATCTGTTCTTTTTGAAATCGACCTAAGAACAGCCCTGAGGTGAAGATACAACTTATCTGCGCGCAAGTTAGTGGTAATGCACACAAACAAACGCCGAGTGCATCAGTACTCCACAAAGTGCCTCGTCACGAATACGGTGAGTTTGGCGGTTTAGTTCCGCACTGCAACCGAAATGCGTACGCATCTGGTAGTAACTGGTGGAGAGAAGTGGTGTCTGCCTAATGCAGTTTATGGGCGATGTGAATCTACTCGGCCTGCATGAATTCGTTGGTGTAACCTTAGTTTGGATGAAAACTTTTGTGATTGCACATTTCAGTTGCTTGTACAGTTAGACAAGCTCTCCTACTTCGGCAAACCAAATGACGCTAGTCTGCAAGTAGCGGCCACACGGTGGGACGTTTACATTGTCAAAGTTTTACTTGTAAAAATACTTTTAGCAGCACTGTGGGGGTACGGAACAGTTAGAAGCTTGGACAGAGCTCACTGAAGCCCAATCCAGTAAATCAATAAATTGCACCTGTGTCTAGGATACATCGAACACACGACCAGACGGTTGGCTAAACGGATGGTAGAACAATGCTCAGCGGCACTATGGAAGTGCACAATTTGGAACATTAAGTCCAAAGCGTACATTAAATTTTGACCTCGGACGCTTTTAAAGTTTTCTACTCCGCAACAAGATGCGCTACTAATAATGCCCGAGGACTTTGTGATCCGGCTACTGCAACCGGAACTGTACAAACAGAGGACGCTAGTGCAGGCGCTACATTTGCCGTGGCCCTGATCTCACCGTGAGCGTCGCTTAATTCGATCTCAGGCGGTGCTCCTGTGACCCCATGTACGTTTGTATCTTTGTCGACTGGAGAGTTTGATCAATTGATGAAGCAACCCTAGCCCAACTATCTTAGCCTATCGTAATGTAAAGTATTTTTTAAAATATGTATAAACCTGAATAGAAACATCGAAAAGAAATTTTTTCGCTGAAAACCTGATTTGCAAAGCACTTTGCTTTTGGGATTCTTAGCACTGCGTTCACAGGTTCTACTGGCACAACTTTACTGCACTGCAGCCTCAGCAAGGACCACAAAATGCTAACTGAATGACAAGCAATCACCTGATCAAGTTCAATAAAACGCGTTACCATTACTTCTTGCGTAATATGGGTAGTAAACAAAGGAAATGATTACCGATACAAGATACATTTCACCTTGTCATTCTGCGCGAAATATTGATAATAAACGCTAACGAGAAACTCACCTCGTCCCTTGGCAAGCCAGTCGTTGATGGTGGGCGTGTGGCGTCCTATCTTCCTCTTGTTTGTAATCGCTGCCTCACAGATTGCTTCGTAGGTGTTAAGGAATACAATCGGTCTCCCCATCAGCGTTATCCGCACAACATCACCATATGTTTTGTGCAGTTTGGCGACCTCTCGGAGTGCAGATGGACCTTTGCAAATTAGGAAACAGGTAGCATATAGACATTATTCACTCAATCGTATTCATGCATTCATGTACATATGTATTCACCGTTCGCCTCCAGATGTTGTAATAACTTTTTGCCGAAGCACTGGATTTGCGGGTAACCGACAACTTCAGTGTGATTAACTTCAGTTATGATGCGGGGTGCTTCCGTCTCCCAACGATAATCAGGAAGCTCCTATTATTTCGTTGAACATGTGAGTTCCCTCAATATAGGTACTTACGTTGATTAATTCAGACTCTAATTAACATCCATGGAAAAGGACGACAAGTGTTGTCAGTGGAAATCAGTGTAAGTCCTCATTGGGAATCATGTAGCTACTAGCACTAAGTGCTTTCTGTTTAAGCTGTACTCCGCATCTGTTGGTTAGTGATTGCAGCATAGAATCTTATTTGGGTATGGTTTCCTAGTCAGCATCTTGTGTATTAAAGATTGCGCAGCCTCAGCTCACCGTCCTTGGAACCATGAGTTACGTATGATGGCGAACAGGTCCACAGTTTGTGAGCGTTGAAATAAGTAAGTGCTTATAACACAGTCCACAGGGAATCCACATCACTGCTGTTCTTCGTCCTTGCAAGCAAAATAACTTCGAATGTGAGTACTGATTTGTACTTCGGCAGGGATCATCGCTACCTGGTAGTGTAAAACAAAGTCACTCCTGACGAACTCATTCCACAAGTACACCATTGTGAGCCACCTGAACCTTTCTCTGTGCTTAGCCAACTTGAACTTGTCACATGGAGTAGGACCATCGGTCCGTTTTCGGGAGTTGGTCGTGGACATGCGATGACTTCAAAGACTGCATGATATAAGTGTAGGTCTCACTGTGTTTTAGCCATCAACAACTAGATTTCTCGACTTCACAGACAATCTTCACTTGGTTAGAGATAGTTCATCAGGTCCACTCTCAGTCAGCAGCCTTTGATGGTCTGAAAAGGCACCAGACACCGGGGTTTGGAGCTACTGGGTCACTTCACTGGCGCCCCTTGCAGCGGACCCTTGTGGGTTCCGCCCCCATGACTTCCGGATGCCAGCAGCTGGTGCCACTTCACCATGGGGGACAACCGCGGATCTGAAGGATTGACAGTTGACTGTGACATAGTCCAGATCATCCTCTATTACCGCGTCAATTACGAACTGTGCAGAGGACAGCAGCTAGCCGAACGAGCTGGGACTTTCCGCATAGTGCCTTGGTATGATGCAAGCGCTTAGAAGCTATACGGACTGAATGTATTGCTAATGAGTGGTGGGGATTTGGTATGCTTAGAGTTAGTTCATCAAGGTCACTCTCACACCGAATCAAAACTACTCATTAGTACTCTTCACTTGAACACAAGATACGGTACTCCGCTATCATCAGTTGTTTTACGAAATCAACTCATTTTTATTTGCGTAGTGCTGATGACTAGACACCATCTCTTCAATGCAGCTTAATTTCCGATGCGTCGTTTGCACGGGCAAAACTATAGTCCACAACTTTGTTGGCTTGAAGTGGTATAAAGTTGTTGCTTACGTTGCTCGACGCACACGATGAAAGAACGGAATCTGATATATAGGCTGGCTAGCCGAACAACCTTTTCGTGGTGCCAGCTGGGTGGTTCAGGTTTATCCGTCCCAGCCAACAGTTCGGCGGCGGTGTTCCAAGACATGGTGGGTTTTCGCCCGGCAAGCCTTCTCCCTATAAACGCCACAACTGTCGGCTAACCAACACTGCGACGTGGCGCTTGTGCTTTGCCACCAATCAACTTCACTGCCCCTTGTTTAAGCGGGCAATCGTATCCAATCTACAAACGTCAAGCATTTCTTATGACGCTGGCGACCCGACCGAACACAGTCAAAATTACAGCGATACATTCACAAGCCCAAGCAACACTGCGACATGGATGGATTGACGGCATCCGTATCAGGATTCGCCTGTCACTTTGGCCTCCATGGGGACAGTCACAGGACGCCTGCGCCTACAGAGGGACCATGGGTGGCTTGCGTTGCACTACCCACAGTTTCACCCACGCACCCCATGTCCGGTGTAAACCCCGAAGGAATAAGACCAGGAGACATGTGGATGGGAACCAATTTTCCTCAACAAAGCCGGCTCACACTCCTTCAAGAAGCAGAACAGAATCATTCCGGCCTAATTGCGAAATCATGCACACCAGACGTACACAAGGCGGTGGCTGGCCCGTAGCCCTATCCATACATGATGGAACCACTCTTTGTGTGTATCACCGCTACGTGGACGGTGCACCCTGTCCCCTCCAGCAAGGACCAGCTCTCTCCTGGAGCCAGCAGTCGAGGTGGAGAGTATTAGACAGGTAGGTACCTTGTTAACATTCACATCAGACCAGCCACACCGGGGAGCTCAAACAACATCTACTTCTGAAATGCAAGAATATCATCACGTAGGAAAACGTATCACATGAGCCGCTTTACTGGCTTGATGATTTCTCCGAATCTCAATGCGTTTACCTGAAGGCGGCAGCAGTACAAGGGGGCGTATAGAGGCACATGAGGTGGGATATATTGACCTCATATTGCAACCCGCAATAAGTCAAAGTGTCACACCAGAAGAAAAGTAATAAGATTAATCTATCAAGTGAGAACTTAGCGAAATACGAACAAAAGTTACCGCGATTTGTGATTTGGGCGAGACCCAGTTAGACATCGAGACAGCAGGTAACGGTGTCATTGGAGTGAAATGCTGTCAGGCTGTCAGGCTGAAGTGTGGCGCTTACACGTGTTTCTAACTGGCTTCCACTTAGTCATTCAACATAAGATATCAGTTGACATACCAAAGGTTCCTGGTTCGAGTTGCAGTACTGCATACATACGTACATATGTATATTCGTGGCTCTACAGATATGACAATATTGTTACTTTTATACATTACTCGATTACTTGTTGTACACTTACCAAGAATATGCCTGTGCAGGCATGCCTCGCGTTGTCGAGAATAAACAATTTATTCCTTTATTTATTTAAAGTCGTAAGTTTTCTCGTAAACTTTATTTCGAAAGAGCCGCTGCGTTAGTTTCTAGAGTTAACATTAAGCCCATCAATCACTGAACATGATAATGAAAAACACTTCACTTACACCCGCCCTCATTTGGTTGAGGGTTGGTAATTTGCGAGTGGGCTAAACTTCTCGCTGCTGTACCAGTGTGTAGACGCATAACCCTTCCACAGTATCTCTCCGGAGTGAATTGTTCACCGAATTCAAAGTAAAGGTGCCTTCAAAGTCTTAACCAGAACACGGTGCCTGGCCAGGTGAATGGGTGCGGGACATCTACAATATCAATAGTAAACTTGTTCTCCCAGATCTAACGCCCGTGGAAGTTTTCCGACAGCATATCCCTGTTTTCATGGAAGTAACATCACTGAAGGGATGTCTTGTGTGCTGATGGAGTACACACGTGAATACGACAGTGCTGTCTGAACGGGGTGAGTTTGCTTAGGAATACTCTCTGGTCTGACACAGTTACCAATGATAGACGGTGGGTAAAATGAATCGCATACACCTGTTTCTCTGTCCCTACACTGTTGGGCCGGTATTCACCGCACAAGAATAATTAGCCAAAGGTAATAACTTGGCATAGGTAACTCAACCGGACGGCCTCCTCACTATTCGTTGGGTTAGTGCGCCAACTTGGCCCACTCCCACTAATTGCGCAAGTTGATCTATCCGGGTTCATGGGAATGTGACCAGTTGGACTAGCTAACCTGCGGATCATCGCTGGGAGGTTCTACTGGTGCCAACGTACAAAGGAGATCCGGTTAAATTGAGTCCTACCAACCGACCCAGTGGAACAGAACCGGCCCTTCTTAGCGCATAGCCCTTCGCACATCTAACTGCTGCGTTCGTGGTTGTCTTGACCCTCGTATATACACGTCGCGGTACTTTGGTGGATGGCGAGAATCAACCAGTGATTACACCATGAGTGCATACAAGTGAGAATAAGCAATGTGTGGTGTGCGGTAGATTCTTCTGGAGCCACTTGGAATTTCGTTTTGATGGCGTTTAGGTTGCTACAGCATTCCAGCCAGCTATCTAACACCAAGAGTGATCTGAACCATTTCAGATTCAATACATACCCTGTAAAGTATGCCAGCGAAGGTTATGGCTGGTTTTCTACGTTATTCGAAGTCCGAAAATGCATGAGCAAGACAACTGTGTGTAGGTCGTTAATGAATAAGTTCAAAGGTAAGTTACTAACTCTCTCACAATGCCCCATGCCAGCCTTTGAATATTGGTTTATCGTGACTTTGGGGGTTTAGAATTGAATCTATGGCTGTACTGAATGTTTCAAGCTCACAACACTGCACTCCATGAATGCCATCATACGTGTTTGCGGCGGTCAAGTAGAAATAGTGGAGCTGTGACTTTAATCCAGACGACCAACTGAACCCCTTATTCCCACACCACAGCGATCAGCAAGCAGCAATTAGCACAATAGTTAGTTTGGACCAAACAACTTCAAACCAAGACTTAGTTCATGAACTTTCTGATAAATAGCTGTACGTATAGGCAATATTTGTCTATACAGCTATGAACCGAGCGTTATGTCGTGACGTACCCTGCTAGAGTGGGCATGATTTCTGACCTGTTGGCAGCAGTAGCAACATTAGCAGCGGCTGCAGGGTATAGCTGCCAAGTGGGGTGAGGTAACTTCGGCAAAATGAGTACTCGAGCTTTTACCCTGCGGCGCTCCCTTTACTTTGTAGTTTCACGGTGGTGACCACGGGCGAATCCCCTAGATTTCGATTCGCCTTTTTAGCTCTAGTGACCCGTTCGACCCCACTGTTAGCGTCCGCAACTTACAACAGCGAACACGACTGGTGGCCACTTGGATTCTATTGCCCGGTTGACCATCCAGTCCTATGATAGTCAGAAATGATGTTACTGCCCACAGATCACTGTGCTGCATTCAGGCTCCTCTGTTCATTTCACATTGCCTACCTGGACAGGCAAT